GTTCAAAGGCCTCAATTCTTTGGTGCTCAGCCTTTCTTATGGTCCAACTTTCACAGCCATACATTGCAACTGGGAAAACCATAGCCTTGACTATGCACACTTTTGTTGGCAGGGTGCTGTCTCTGCTTTTTCGTATGCTGTCTAGATTTGCCATAGCTTTCCTCCCTAGGAGCAAGCGTCTTTTAATTTCTTGGCTGCAGTGATCTTGGAGCCCAGGAAAATAAAATCTGTCACTACCTCCATTTCTTCCCCATCTATTTGCCAGGAATTGAGAGGGCCTGATGCCATGATCTTAGTTTTCTTAACGTTGAGTTTGAGGTTGTTGATATTTCTCCCGGAAATCTAGCATATGTGAAATTTTCAGACCGTATTATGAGGACTCCGTTTTGCTGATTCCCAAAGCATTTTCTTGAGTACTATGGCCAGTTACAAAAGCTGTCATTTACCAAAGCAAAACTGCTAAGTTGCTCCAAGCAGCTCCTCTACTTGAGAGTATTTCCTGTTGCTCCAATTTTACCTTTGATTATTTTTTCTTGGCCGATGGGCTATTGAGGAAAGCACTCAGCTGCAGCCGTTCCCTGTTCTTACTTGTGGGGAAAGATTAGGGCACTTGGGCAGAGACCAGAGGCTAATTTGCAAACCAGAGGGGTGCTGGAGTTTATTGATTTGCTTGGCCTGCTTCCAATATTGTTACTTTTGAATCAAAAGGGTTTTTTTTTCTAAAAAAAAAAAGAAAGCCAGGCCAGGTGGGGGTATGAGAGGGCCCAGAGGAGATATCTGCAGATGCATTGGACACCAGTCCTAGTTAAGACTGGGCTAAAACATGCCCTTAAAAACAAAGAATATTGTATCTCAATATTGACTAATTGAACATGTGTGCATTTGTTGTGTTCCACTTTGCTAGTCTGTGCCTTTTTTTCCTGGATCCCAGGTGCAGAAGACTCAGGAGCCTCCTTGCAAGAAGATACTTTTGCTACCACAACTTCAACCACCACTCGTCCCAAAGATGGTATGTAAACTTCCAGCTGCTCTTAGCTTGGGGTGTTGCTCTTCCCTTAGAGCAGGGGTATCAAACTCAAGGCAAATTGCGCATGGCTAGTCTAGTGAAGAGAAGGACCAAGGGAGACATGAAAGCAGTGTTTCAATACTTGAGGGGCTTTCAAAGATAGGAGGGGGTCAAGCTATTTTCCAAAGCACCCGAAGGCCAGACAAGGAATAATGGATGGAAACTGATGGAGGAGAGATTCAACCTAGAAATAAGGAGGGACTTTCTGACAGNTAAATCACAAAAATTGAGGGCAGGGAATATGAGCCTGTTCTGACCTTAGCTTCCCAAGAGCATGAAGCAAACTCCTTGTTCCGTCTTTTATTAATTTATTGTGAATTCTGTTCATTCACATCTAGCAAAGTCTTTCAAGGGAGGATTTACAGTCACAAACCTTATCTGGTTGGAGAGCTGACAGGCCAATATCTGCAAAACTTGGCAAGGAGTCTCAGAGAGTTACGAACCAATTAAGCAAATTAATTGTCTCCTGCAAACTCCACTCCCCTTTCACTCTCCTTTTATTTCCTCTGGGAGGGGCCATTCACCATCCACCTGTGCTTAACTCCCAAGTCGACCCCTGTTCTTTAGCTGTTCCCTTCGTCTGGCAACTCTGCGTATGCGCACACTGGGAACAGGCTCCAACTGTTAATCTGTCTCACTGATGTATGATTCTGAAGGTAGCTGATAACTGGCATATGGCTCTGGCCCCCTCCCTGCCTCCAACACAGAGCCCTCATCAGAGCCTTCCCCAGATTCTAGGACAATTAAGCAAATTAATTGTCCCCTGCAAACTCCACTCCCCTTTCGCTCCTCTTTTATTTCCTCTGGGAGGGGCCATTCACCGTCCACCTGTGCTTACCTCCCAAGTCGATCCCTGTTCTTTAGTTGTTCCCTTCGTCTGCCAACTCTGCGCATGCACACACTGGAAACAGACTCCAGCTGTTAATCTGTCTCACTGATGTATGACTCTGAAGGTAGCTGATAACAGGCATACGGCTCTGGCCCGCTCCCTGCCTCCGACACAGAGCCCTCATCAGAGCCTTCCCCAGATTCTAGGACAGGCCCATGTTCCTCCTCAACCTCCTCACTGTCCAAATCTGCTGCCAGTGCCACTGGCTGGCTGCTGGCGGGCCACAAAAGAGCCAAATCAAACTCTTCCAACATGGATCTTGTGTCTTCCCATGCTGGGAGAGGAAGAAACTTTAGAGCAATATACCTGGGCACCCTACTGAGGAAGGCTACCAAAACTAGGCCAGATGCTATCAGTGATATATTAAAAAAGGTAACAGGCTGATTACTTGCACCCAGGGCCACATTTGACCTTCTGAGCAGACTGCCAAGGGTTACATTCCAAGAAGTAAAGGGAACCAGAGGTTTCTGCAGGGGTGGTTTAAAAAAGTTGGTGGCTTTGAAAAAATGTGATCTTAATTTTTTCTTTACCCATCATCCCTCCAACATCCTTACAGATGCCCTGATAGATAAAGAATTAGATAGAACGTAGAGCAAATCTAAATGTTATCTTCATTGTTTAAATTAATCTTATTTTTAGCCCTGGGAAGGATTAACAATTACAATTTGGTGGCCATTTGGAAGGAACTGTGGGCCTCCTCCAAGTTGTGGGTGACAGTGTATTTACTCTCTGACTTCAGTGTTTGTGGCTAAAGCACGGGTGTCAAACTCAGGGCCCACAGCCCGGATGCGTCGTGTGCTGGCCCTGCCCCCCACCCAGTTTAGCAAAGGAGAAAAAAGTCCCGATACGTGACGCTGCTGTGATGATGTGAGTTTGACACCCCTGGACTAGAGGGTCTAGGTTTGTTGTTTTTGATGTCTCTTTTGCATTGGAGATATGTCCACATCGGGATTATTATTACTATTTCTGGGAGGACTTTTGAAGAGCTTGATCAAGTAGTGGCAAAACTCAGATGCTCTTCCCTAAAGATTGAGACACAACCCCACGGGCCTATTCAGAACCTAGGGATTTACCGTATTTTTCAGAGTATAAGACACACCTTTTTCCCTCAAAAAAGAGGCTGAAAATCTGGGTGCTTTTATACACTGAATACAGCATTTTTTTGCCTCCCGTAACCCCGCCCACTTCACTAAAATGGCCCTGCATAGCCTTTAGGAGACTTTCAGAGTGCTCCTGGGGACTGGGGAGGGCAGAAATGAGTAAAAAATGGGCCGTTTTCTTTGCTCAATTTTGCCCCCCCCCCAGCTCCCATGAGCACTCTATAAGCCTCCTAAAGGCTATCCAGTCCTTTTTAAAACAAAAATGGGCCCATTTTTCTGCTCATTCCCCCCCCCCCAGCACTCTACAAGCCTCCTAAAGGCTATTCATGCCCTTTTTGTTTTTGAAAGAAAAAAAAAAAACCGGGCCCCTTTTCATGGAAAACGGACCGTTTTTGGAAGGTTTGCAGAGTGCAAAAACTTTTTTAAAAATTTGCCTCTTCAAAACCGTGGTGTGTCATACTGGAAAATTACGGTAATCTTTGCTAAGGTGATACTTTGAAGATCATTATCAATTCTGGGCATCTTAATTTCATAAGAATATTGAAAAATGGAAAGGGCCCAGACTGGATGGCTTGAACTGGTAGGAGATTTGAAACTCAAGTTTGAAAGCAGGCAAGATTGAAGGAAATGGGGAATGCTGGGTCTGGAGACGCAACCATTAAGGGGAGATACAGTATGTGTTTTATTGTATTAATCTGTTTAGGTAATAATCAATGGACTCAATAATCCCCCTTGTCAGTAGGTAGGTAGCCCAACAATTTAAACTCAGAGAAAGGTATTAAACTCAAGAAAATTAGGATTTTAATAATATCCTTGTATTTGATCATGGATCCATCTGCCTTGCTCACAGGCTGAACTTCTTCAGTGTACGTTTTTAAACAGAGGCTAGAAGGCAGTGGTGGGATTCAGCCAGTTTGCACCACTTCAGGAGAACCAGTTGTTAACTTTCTGAGCAGTTTGGTGAACTGGTTGTTAGAAGAAATAATTAGGGCAGAGAACCGGTTGTTAAACTATTTGAATCCCATCAGTGTTAGAAGGCTACTGTGGTTGTGGATTTTCTTCATGAGATGAGAGANTATTCCTATTCCTATTATTCCTATTCCTATTCCAATGTTTAGGTTTTCTGCGACTGGTCAATGGCAGCCATCGCTGTGAAGGCCGGGTGGAGATCTTTTACCTGTCTCAGTGGGGGACGGTGTGTGACGATGCCTGGGATCTCAAGGACGTGAAAGTGGTATGTCGGCAGCTTGGCTGTGGAGGTGCCTTAGCGGCCTTTGGAGAAGCCCAGTACGGCCAGGGCAAAGGATACATTTTTCTGGACAACCTCAAGTGCAAAGGAGATGAAACGTCTCTCCTGCGTTGCTCTCATATCCGCTGGAATGTGCACAACTGCGATCACTCGGAAGACGCTGGTGCCCTCTGCCATCTGCTGTGATGGAGGTAAGGATGGGAGGTCTGTTTATGAACCACACAGAAAGTGGCTATTTTCCTTTTTTCACCGTTAAACTTTGTTTCAAGCTGTTCCTGTCCTTCAGTAAGTACAAAAAAGAATACAGGTAGTTCTCAAATTATGACCCCCATTGAGCCCAAAATTTCTGTTGCTAATGTTGTGGCCCACCAGTGGCTGGCGGAGCTGGTGGCAGACTCAGAGAGTGAGGAGGTTGAGGAGGAACATAGGCCAGTCCTGGACTCTGGGGAAGGCCCTGATGAGGGCTCTGTGTCGGAGGCAGAGAGGGGACCAGAGCCATATGCCAGTTATCAGCTACCTTTGGAGTCAGAGATAAGTGGGGCTGAAGAATAGCTGGAGCCTGTTCCTGATGTGCACATGCACAGAGCTGCCAGACAAAGGGAACAGCAGCTAAAGAACAGGGGTTGACTTGGCAGTAAGGCCACAGGTGGATGCTGATTGGCCCCTCCCAGAAGCAGAAGGGGAGTGGTGTTTGCAGCAGACAATTAGTTTGTTAGTGTGAAGATTTGCTTATCTGACAGACTCCTTGTCACGTATTTCCTTGTACAGCTGTTGAGTCTGGAAGCTATCGTCTTGGCAACTATCCAAGGACTGATAAGGTCTGTGTTTGCAATTCACCCTTGAAAGACTGTTTACCAGGACTTTGCTGGATATGAATGCTGGGAATTCATGTACAGAGTAAATGATTACAATGCTGAGATGACCCATGACTGAGTTACTGCAGTTGCAAAAGAAATATGGAGAATTTCCAATGCTTTCCTTACATTGTAACCACCAGAGTCAATGGCTGTCTTCCCATACAAAGCCATGCTTTGTTCTCTGAACTTCAACTGATTGGCTTCACACATCGTACAAAACCTGAAACGACAGTTTCATTAACCAGGGTGGCTTGATTCAAACAGTATTCCCAAGCCAAAACAAACTTTTGATCCTCAATTTGTTGAATAAACCATTGTGACAGGTACAGATCTATTGTTGAGCTATAATGAGTAGGTTTAAATTTCACTAGTAGGGTCTACAAGGGGATCAAAATCTGTAGGCTGCTATATGCCCATCTTCTTCCAGATTTTTACCTCTCCTTCTCCTGTGGAGGCTGGTGCATCACATGCTAACATAAACAAAGAACATTATGCCATAATGTAATATTAATGTGGCCCGCCAGCAGAGCTGAGCTCTGGTGAGAGCTCTGTGTCAGCGGCAGAGAGGGGGCCAACACCTTATGCCAGTTATCAGCTGCCTTCCGAGTCAGACACCAGTGAAGCAGACAAACAGCTGGAGCCTGTTCCCAGTGTGCACATGCGCAGAGTTGCCAGACGAAGGGAACCGCTAAAGAACAGGGGTTGACTTGGGAGTAAGGCCAGACGCTGAATGGCCCCTCCCAGAGGAAATAAAAGAGGAGTGAAAGGGGAGTGGAGTTTGCAGGAGACAATTAGCTCGCTTAATTTGTTCTTGACTCTCTGAGACTCCTTGCTAAGTTTTGCAGATATTGGCCTGTCACCTCTCCAAGCCAGATAAGGTCCGTGACTGTAAATCCTCCCTTGAAAGACGTTGCTAGATGTGAATGAGCAGAATTCACAATAAATTAATAAAAGGCTTTTTTTTTTTGTCGGAACAAGGAGTTTGCTTTATGCTCTTGGGAAGCCTCGGACAGAACAATTACGAGAAATAAGCCAAAACTCTTTTAAAACTGAAGAGGAGTCAAATCTTCATGGGGTGTTTTGCATGGATGAATCTTAAAGCCGACATCCCCATGAAAGCATCTCTGTGCAATGCTGGAGTGCCCTCCTTCCAGCTGGGCTGCTGATGTGACGAGAAAGTTCTCCGAAAGCTCGTGAACTCATTTTCTGTACGGCAGGAAGACCATGGCGGTGGCAATCAAGGGTTTACCTTGACTTTTCCCAGAGTGTGTTAACCTTCACTATGCAAAACCCAAACATGAGGTGGAGTGCATCCGCTTTGCACACCCACAGATTTAACCTCCTAAGTCAGAACTGCTTATGGCTTAATGGGATGAGTAATGCAGCCATATTTGAAAAAGGTTTCGTAAGTTGTTCTAGTATTAGACATATCTCCACCAAAATGCTTAGAGCTGTATTTTGTTTTCTTTTGCAGATGAAATTCGTAGACTTCCAGGTTTGCACCAACTGTAAGAAACCCAACTTCTGTGGTGCATGTCCAAAATCTTCCTGCGGGATGTTGTCTTCTCAGTGAATTTGTCCATGTGATCTCCTGCAAATACATCTCTCAGCACCTCTGGACTCCGCAGCACTTCAAATTCGATTCCAAAATGTTGCTTCAGAGGATACAGGAGTACAGATAATAACATTTGCCTGCTGCAGCACTTTAAAGCACCCATGTCCTTTCCTGGGATCTCGTGGCTACCTTGTGCCTACCATGTGACCTTGGAAAAAGATATAGCTGCTTTAAAAAGATTGACAGACGAGTGCTATGTTCTTATTCCTACCAGCATCATTTTCAAGTTAAATCTGAAGCATGACCATCTCGTTGTACAGTTAGTTTATGTACCAGAAATTGTGCATTTTTCACAGCAAGTCCCCACACAAAACACTTTGGGCAGATCCAGGACAGATCTCCAGAAATCTTTTATCCCAGCATATGATGTATTTTTTAGTCTGCCATTTTGATATTGTTTTTTTTCCCTTTTCTGTACATAGGGTTTTTTCTTTTGGTGCGTGTACTGGTTTTTATGGTGGCTCCTTAGCAGTACGGTTGGAACCGGCCCGGCAGCATCCACATGGATGCGTGCAATGTGCGTGCACATGCACGCAGCACATGCATGTGTCTTACCACCTCCATGAGCCTCCATGACACTCCAGCTGCTCAGCGTAGCGTCACGCAGGCGCTGAAGCGTGGAAGCCTTAAAAGACAGGTAAGGAGCTCCGGTGGGTGGCTGGGCCCTCCGGAGCACCGTACTGGAATGGTATCCGGTGTTCCCGGCATGCTCCAGTAAGCACCATACTGGGGGGTACCGCCTGCAACCCACCATTGCTCCTCAGGACAAATGTGTCTTCTTCATTCTTCTGGACAAAAATAAGTTTCAGGTGTGCAAAGTTTTTAGTAAGGATGGTTTGTACTCCATGGAGAGGTGGAAGGGTCAGAGTAAACTGGTAGCTGGAGCTGGGAAAACAGCTTATTCTCAGAATACCTAGAACAAAATATTGTGTGAAGCTGGAAGAGTGGAACCAGGCCTGTAGAGTAGCAAATTATTCACCGTCTAACTTTCCAGGTGGAGGAGAAAAAAGTGGCCATAAAAAGTTGAGCTTTTTAAAAAAAAAACATGTTGGATTTGCAGGAATGAAGGATTAAAGGTGTATTAAAATGTTAAACAGTTTTTAAAACCTGGTCACAGTGCACAGCTGCAGCCCAATGTACCCGGAAACCAAAATCAAAGCCACAGGGGCGTGTGTGTTATACTCACATTTGAAGAGAGCAAATCTTATAGTTTTTGCCTTTCTAATATTGCTCATAGAAGGGATGTGGTAGTTCAGTGGCTAAGATGGTGAGCTTGTCAATCAGAAAGGTCGGCAGTTCGGCGGTTTGAATCCTAGCACTGCGTAACAGAGTGAGCTCCCGTTACTTGTCCCAGCTTCTGCCAACCTAGCAGTTCGAAAGCATGCAAAAATGCAAGTAGAAAAATAGGGACCATCTTTGGTGGGAAGGTAACAGCCTTCCATGTGCCCTCGGCGTTTAGTCATGCNGAGCAACAGCTGCTCGTTATCATCTCCTGTAAGTACTCAGTTGTTCTTTACGCCGGTCAGCCCTTTGCCTGTGTGCATCCCGAAACAACTCACAGGAGGTTTCTGTGTCAGTCTCTCTTGTCTCCTCCCCACTGTTTCTGTCGGGACCAGGAGTTTGCTTCGTGCTCTCGGGAAGCCTCGGTCAGAACAAGGTCCAACTCTCCGAGCACAGTCTAATTCAAGAGACAACAAATTTGGGCATCTCAGGTAAATGTATTTCCTAGTGATGCTACCTGTCAATCTTTATCCGGAGACATCAGGTGCTGAAACTGGGACCTGATATATGAGAAACATTTAATCTGCACCCGATTGCTCCAAAATGGATTGAATCCCCTGTGCGGTCAAAAAGCAATATGCACAACCCACCGCCGAAATGGAATGAAGTTGCCTGTTGACTCAAGCACAATGGCTTTCTATGTCCGTGTCACCAGGAAGCTCATAAAATGTCATTCCCAGCCACCTGCAAAAGATTCTAATTTATATTAACAATTTGACACCGGTCTATTTTAACCGGAGATGGATTACATCAGGGCAGAATTTGGGAGCTCTCCAGCTGACAGTGACATTAACATTAAATGAGAAATCATAGCCTTGTGCGGGATTACATTTCCCCCCCCCATCTCATCTCGTGTAGTGACTTAGTACAGAGGCTAATCTGAATGTAGCCTTAGGCATCAATGCCACGCATAGAAAATTACCTACCTTGGAGGCTGCAATTGTAATTCCTCCAGAAAATCGCTTCCCCTCCCCCCTACTGATTCTGAAGTGCCACCACCATCCAAACTATAATGCAGTTGGGTCATCTTGCAGGAATTAATTTAATGGGGCTGTCCTCTCCCAAACTATAGCAATAGTAATAGCAGTTAGACTTATATACCGCTTCATAGGGCTTTAGCCCTCTCTAAGCGGTTTACAGAGTCAGCATATTGCCCCCAACAACAATCCGGGTCCTCATTTTACCCACCTCGGAAGGATGGAAGGCTGAGTCAACCCTGAGCCAGTGAGATTTGAACAGCCGAACTGCAGAACTGCAGTCAGCTGAAGTAGCCTGCAGTGCTGCATTTAACCACTGAGCCACCTCGGCCCTTTAACTGCTCTGCACCTCTTTGTTGTTAATTGCAACGTCATGCCCGACCCATCATGACCCCATAGACAACGTTCCTCCAGGCCTTCCCGTCCTCTACCATCCCCTGGAGTCCGTTTAAGCTC